CACACACACACACACACACACACACACACACACACACACACACACACACACACACACACACACACACACACACACACACACACACACATACACACACACACACCTCCCCCGTGCGTCCCATCCCCACCCTCAACTCCGCCCACCCCACACGATCCCCGTAGCTGTAATTGATCGGAAACGTTACACGATTTACTAACGGCCTGAGATTTTAGGGTAAACACCGATATTTTTAGAGACGTAGCAGTACCACCGCAGCGCGCCGCCGGATCAAAGCGCCGCCGTAGATGGGTCGGCGCGGGTTTGAATCGGTGCCGGAGTAAGATAGGCGGACAGACTCAGTGGACGACTGCAGACTATAGCCGCTATCTTCGCTGTAATTTTAGTGATACATGCGCTCATGGCGGTTCAGGTAGGGGCACACGAGCGATTTTTATCGCCCGATCGCCGCGAATTTTAAAATCGCTCGAAAAATTCGCCCGTGTGCCCGTTCACGTCGACGCCGATTTTAATCGCCCGCACGAATCGCCCGTATCCAAAATGTTAGATATTTTCGGGCGATTATTGACGCCGGCGATTATTTACGCTGCCAAATTCGCTCGTGTGCCCGTGTCCCGCGTATTTTGTCGTCCGATCGATTTTTCTAAACCAATCGGACGTGTTGTTGATATCATGTGATGTTAAAATCGGGCGATTAAATTCGCTACGTGTGCCCCTTCGTGATCGGGCGATTAAATTCGCTGGCGATTTTAATTGCCGCGATCGGGCGATAAAATACGCTCGTGTGCCCCTAGCATTCGCAGCTAAATTTTATTATGCGAGCGTGCGATATATTTATACGTAACAGAGAACGTATAATTATGGTGTTTCGATATATTTTCCTTTCGTCATGCATTACATTGTTCATTAGTAGCAAAGGTATTATTAGCTCTTGATATATATATATATATATATATATATATACATAACTATATACAGTATATATGTATGGCTACTTTGGCCGGTGGAACTAATGACCTCGTATTTTCCTGGCATTAGATATTGCGTATACATGTATAGAGTGGTTAGTTAGTTATTCATAGATAGAACGACGTATTAAGGTCAGTGTCATATAGTTTCCGTGTCATTGTATAATGAATATATGAGAAGAGAGAGGGGGAGCTTGGAATAATTTAGCGAAAAGATGCGTGAAGTGGTATGTGACTTGGCACAGTGGCCCCCTGCGCGGGTTTGTCGCGTCGTTGTGCTAGCTGGTCATCGCCGTCACCTGTTCTTGTCACTATATCGTCTCTAACGCTCATTTAGCGAGGAGAGCGCCCTCTATTGGGATCTACGTAAGCGATCTCGCGACATTCATTCCAAAGCTGGCGTGTGTTTAACAGAAATGTGATGATGGTCAATTATAACACTCGGGCACTTCATTTCCCATGTTAAATTGTGAGCCTTTCCTCCCTTATTCCTCCTGCTCCTTTCTTCGCGCTCATAACCGTACAGCACTCCCCTTCATTCGCTCTTATTGACCTGTAACTGTCTTTCCCCATTTCCCGTGCTTATTCCCCCTTTCTCTCACCTACGCTTCCTTCCTGCCTCTTTATTCGCCTATATCCTCCCTTTCCACTTCCGTCTAACACTCTAGCTCTCTCTATGCTTCCCCCATCCCTCCTTCCCCAGCTATCCCCACCTCCTCTGATTGCACCATTTTAAACGCGCGAACGTTAATGCATCTATAATAAGAGACTAATTAGGCGATGGAATTTCTCATTACGAAGCAGACGGATTCTCAGCAAAAACTAACACTGTATTAATCTGCGACCATTCCCTGACTGATGCGGGCCACCACATAGGTGTGAAATTGTGTCTGATTGGGGGTGGGTGGCACGCTTCCACTGTCATGCATTATTTGAACCAATGAAGGATTTTTGTGGTTTAGCTGGGCAGAAGCTCGTGTGATGAAATGTTTGCGTTGATGATCATGATTGCAATTGTGATTAAATGTGATTTTCCTACAAAGGAAAACATTGATGTTTTGTTTGTTTATAGTGTAGTCGCTTACGCTAGTCCATCCTAGTCGATCTGGTCATATAATAGCGGAGCTCTGAGCGGGCCAAAGGACCGCAAGAGCGGAGCACCATACATATAGGATGAGGGAATTTTTTGCTGGACTTCGTGGTCAGGTACCCCCCATCCCATAGTGCATTGCAGTTTTTCCAATTTTTCCATTGTTTCAGTTGTTCCAATTATTTCAACTGTTGCGCTAGTTCTTTTTAAAATTAATTGGTGTACATTCCATTACAACAACGTTTAACTTCTGCCTATCTTGCTAAGAATAACTTGCAACAAAATGACGACTTACCCATAAGTCGTCATTTTCGTAAGTCGACACAAAAATGATGGTCCCAAAAGTGTCGACTTATGCGGGTTTTACTGTAGTTAACACGAGTGAAAACTCGAGTTCTTGCGTCAATGGAATAACATGGAGAGCAACATCAGGAGGTCCACAGCAAAAATAAATCCATCTGACGTAGTATCATGATGATGTTGAATTTTAAATTGTTATTATTGCACTGTTTGCAGTGGATTAACGCAGAATATAATTTTTAAACAGTGAAAGCAATGTTATTGTAGGGCTTTATTCCGGTGTGTGTTATACTATAATACTACATGGGTATATACTATAGCCATAGGCGAGAGTCTATTTATAGTGACGTGTTTATTGCCATTATCACTATCATACCAGGAGTAGATAATAGGGAACCTATTAGTATTATCTACTCTAAACCGAATAATTCTGTCCCATATAACCTTTTTTATATTTTGGTGAGGGTTAATACTTATATTGGGACAGAACGGGCGGGGTTCATTGAAATTTCGTGAGATCGCATGCAAAATGCATGCGCTGCGAATGCGGCCCGTACGCCGCTATTGGCGCAAAAAAAAACCTACCGTTCCCTTCTACATGGCTTTACCTTGCTACTGATATGTGTATTCACTTCAATCGTTATTTACTTCTTAAAAGATTGTTTTTCATAAACCCCGCTTCATTAACTTTAGTAAATAACGTCGGCCATTTACAAACAATCAGACCAATCACAGCGAGTCTATGATCTGCAGGCCTCCTGCAGCGCCACAGATACAAGCGAGAACCAGGCGCTATTGTAAGATTCGCTCTGATTGGTCCGATTGTTTGTAAATGGCCGACGTAATTTACTAAAGTTAATGAAGCAGGGTTTATGAAAAACAATCTTTTAAGAAGTAAATAACGATTGAAGTGAATGTATACACATATCAGTAGCAAGGTAAAGCCATGTAGAAGGGAACGGTAGGTTTTTTTCCACGCCAATAGCGGCGTACGGGCCGCATTCGCAGCGCATGCATTTTGCATGCGATCTCACGAAATTTCAATGAACCCCGTTCTGTCCCAATATAACCCTCACTAAAATATAAAAAAGGTTATATGGGACAGAATTATTCGGTCTATATCTACTCCTGATCATACCTATGTGCACACGACTCACGAGTTACTTTCTCATCTTCGTGACGCGAAGTGTCAGATGTACACTCATCACTTGACTGGTGCGAGCTACTGCCGCTTGCCATCACTTTAATATACTTTACTGCAGAATCTAATCAATATTCTGCGTGCAGAACTCTAAATCAGAAAGTAAACAGACCGCAATGCCAATGCATGGGAGCTGACATGTTGTGACTGCGTAGGATGTTATAGCTGCCCCCTCTCGGATATCATGCACAACTTTTACAAACCGTATGCATAAAAGTCTCTATTTCTTCCCGCGAGGGGCGCCACCATCCAATGGCATTGGGAAATGTTTTGCTCAAATATAACTCTTTGGCGCCATCTCGCGTGAAAAATAATTATAATATGCGCATATATGGAATTAACTGTTGACACCATAAATACACTAGATATTTATTATATTACTGACATATTATATTATACTTAATATTTAATGCATACTATATTATAAATAAATAAATTTACATAACGTAATCATTAATATTTTTATATATATTTATATATTTATTTATAATATTACTAAAATACGCTTACTTCATGATTGTATTACGTTATCTTACTTATTTCTATTTCATTTAAATTTATAATTATTTTTCACGCGAGATGGTGCCAAAGAGTCATATTTGAGCCAGAGCACTTATATCAACTTATTATCAGTTGATTTATATGCTCTGTTTGAGCTATGTATTTGAGCCTGGCATTTCTCAATGCCATTGGATGGTGGCGTCCCTCGCGGGAAGAAAGAGAGACTTGCATGCATCCGGTTAGTAAAAGTTGTGTATGATTTCCGAGAGGGGGCAGCAATAACATCCTACGCAGTCACAACATGTTAGGTCCCATTCATTGGTATTTCTGTCTCTGTGTACTTTCTGATTAGATTCTGCAGTAAAGTACGTTTAGTTCACATAGTAATGGAATGACACTGGAAATAGATTCACGCATGTATACCCATGTATTATAGTATAGCACACCGGAACAAAGCCCTAAAAGTAAACATTGAATGCAATAACATTGCTTTCACTGTTTAAAGGCCAAGACACGCTGCAGTGTGCAGCGAGAAACAACTTTTCATAAAATTAGAAACTATTGTTTCCTATGAGCCATTGTACACTGACGCGACGACGACCGACGACAACTTCGACGACAAAAATATTTAGAAACGTTTCTATTTTCGCAGTGCCTGCAGGTACGGTAGCCGTTCTTCGTTGAAGCCCCTTTTTGGCGTTAGGGTTAGGGTAAGGGTTAGGTTTAGGGTTAGGGTTCTAGCTCATCTAAACTCTCAAATCGTAAATTTATATCTTAAGGCGTTATTTAGAAATCTGGCGCCACCGCCGCCATCTTTGTCTCGTTAAGTATGAAAGCGAATGGACTGCCTTACCCGTAGCCTCGAGACATTAAGATACGGCTACCGTACCCGTAGCCACTGCCTTCTATTTTCCAGTGACTTTCTCCGGCGACACTTTACAAATGGCCAATCAGCCGTTTCCATCGGCACGTGACATCGCCATTAATTACGTCATAAAATTATAAACCAATGCTAGCCAGGAAGTAGACTGGTCCCCAGCGCTAAACGGGTGTTGCTATCCCCTGGGCGTGGAGGGACGGTCACGTGATACAGTTGACGTATACTTCAAAACTTAACAGTATCCTGAAGAAAAAAAAGTCCCTATAATGGATTAATGATGTACTTCAATTTGTCGTTCGTCAGTGTAACGTTCGTGTGGTACGTTTCTGGGACGTTGCTACAACGTTATTCGTGACATAACCAAACTACAACATTCCAGCAACGTTGTGGAAACATGTGTTAGCTGGGGTATCTGTATAATAGCAGGGTTCGACACTAACGCTAGTCCGTTAGTCCGAGACTAGTAAAAAATAAGAAGGACTGGTAAATGCCCCATAGCCAGTAGTCTAGACTAGTGCAGACTAGTTATTTTCCCCGCCCTTCGCCGTCCTAATTTACCATCCTCCCATCAATTTTACTATAGTCCTCGGCGGCAGCTTCTCTTAACCAAGATCTAAAGAGCTATATATAACTCATTACCATCAACAAGTTTTCCCTGTTAGACGCGCTAGTACAAGTAGACGCTAGCACGCTCTGCATGCTAGACCCTATGACAGTACAAACATTGTTAAAGAATGGGGCCACGAACCAGTCTACCGATCGATCGCTTGACAGTAGCTAGTTTACATAGAACAAACGGTCTGAATCGTGATTGTATAAATGACACAACTAATCAGTTATACGCTCTCATAGAGAGGTATTTACATTGCAACCACATCGCATGCGTGTTTTACTTGAAGCAGTCGATACAAATAGTTATTTATAGTAGTGATACAAGTAGTGAAGCATAGTAGTAGGTACATCCTTATCCAATACTAACATATCAAGGTTGTTATGTGGAAGTATTTGGACGGAGCTCGTCCTCCACCTCCCAAACGTAAGTCGCAGGAGGAGAAATTAGATGGCCAGCGTGCTGCGTGTATATGATAAGACCAAAAGGATGCGTACGTTCCAGCCAGCGTGGAAATCGTCATACCCGTGGCTAGAGTATGACCCGGCCAAGAGTATGACCTGTGGTGCAGGCTGTATGTCTGGTAGTTTTTTCACCGGCACTACAAACTATCGTTTGAAAACTGATTCGCGTTTGAAAGCGCATGATGCTTCCGAGGGGCACATAAAGATCATAGCAGAAAGAAATGCAAGGACCATGCCTGTTCACGAAACAGTGGGGGCAAAAACACTAACTTTAATGAACAAGGCCATAATAGCAAAACTGAATATCCTAATTAGAAATGCACATGCTATTGGAAACGAAAATGTCAATGACACTATAGCTCACTTTGGGTGTGATAGAAGAGGGCGATGATATTTAAAGTTATGAGTACCCTGAGAGGGTAATCATCAGGTTGGTAATAGTCTGATGTGTATTGTAAACGGACCATCATTATTGTAGGCCTTCGGTTAGTAATTGTCCGGGTGGTAATTGTCCGGGTGGTAGTTGTCCGGGTGATAATTGTCCGGGTGATAATTGCCCCTTGGTAATTGTCCTGGGGGTAGTTGTCTGGGTGGTAATTGTCTGGGTGGTAATTGCCCGGGTGGTAATTGTCCTAGGGGGGTAATTGTGTAGGTGGCAGTTGTCTAGGTGGTAGTTGTCCTAGGGGGGTAGTTGTCCGGGTGGCAGTTGTCTAGGTGGTAGTTGTCCTAGGGTGGTAGTTGTCCGGGTGGCAGTTGTCCGGGTGGTAGTTGTCCGGGGCATAGTTGTCCTAGAATCCTATCGTGCGAGATTCCACGACCTGGAATGATGGGTGCCAACAAATCCCCAGTTGCATGATAAATAATTGCAATAATTACAAATAATGATAATGTAACACATGTATAGCATGCCTAATGTTTAGCATGCATAGTCGACCCAGTTATGATTGTGTGTAAGACAGCTAGTTAACCACCTCCCTCGTCCCCCTCGTTTATCCACCTAATATAGTGCTTATAACAACAGCCAAAGCTCTGACTAGGTGTGTGATGAATCATTGATATATCAATGTACCGCGATACCAACCTCGATGATACACGTATCGATACGTTTGAGCATTCACGATACACGTATCCACCATACTCTACTGAATGAAATCCATATCATTTGGTAGCGTAGTATCATCCAAAAAAAAAGAAGAAGAAAAATAGCAAAAATTGCAGTTCAGTAGCATTTGTATTTTTTCTAAGCACTCCACGATACTGATTTGTGAGCGTTCACATGATTGCTAGAGTCCCGGTTATATGTATAGTTTGCTAGGTAGTTTCTCTTAAAAGTATCGAAATATCTGGATATGGATCATAATATTGTGAAGGGTGTATAGCGAGCGATACGGGTTGTATCGTGAAAAGTGTATTGTAATACGGATCGTATTGTGAAGGCTGTATTGTAATACGGCTTGTATCATGAGCTACCCATTTCTTCCCACCCCTATCTCTAACCACCACATGTCTTTGGTTCGCTTGCAGTTTTTGAGATTGGTTGACGACTTCCTATGCGGAACCACTACCGACCGCTACCGCGACCACAGGGGAAACGGCTGTTCTTTTTGTTTCCCCTGATCACATCGTCGTCGCGATAGTCGGTAGAGAGGCAAGGGAGCATGCGTCGCAAGCACACCCATTCTTATTGCGGTGAACGCGCGCAGAGTATTTTAAACATTTCATCGATTTTGTCAATCTTGAAATGGGGAGGGACTGGGGCGTAAGTGTTACGACGTTCGTTTCGTTTTCATTTGTCGTTTTTCTTTCGTTCATTTTTTAAATGTTTGTTTCATTGGATTGGAAACTCACGTGCCATCGCGCGATGCGAGCGTGTATATCATGTATTTCGTATGAGGGGACATCCACAATTCTTACTATACGTACGTGTGGTTACGTAGGGATGTGTATAGTGAAGGTGGGCTGCCGTTTCCAGAGAGGTGAGGTCGTGGAACGTCTGCGAATTTTCCACAGAGAAATTTTGTAGTTAATTGTAAAAATCCAACTACTTTTTTAAAGAGGAAAATGCATGCACGAGAACGACCTATTGTTCAGTTAGATGGTAACCGCTAGCATAACGTGTGCGTGTGCGTGTGCGTGTGTGTGTGTTTGAGCGTGTGCGTGTGTGTGTGTGTGCGTGCGTGCGTGCGTGCGTGCGTGCGTGCGTGCGTGTGTGTGTTTGAGCGTGTGCGTGTGTGCGGGTTTGTACGCGCGCGGGTGTATGAAAAGATACAACTAACACAATTACTAGTTTAATATTGGTCTTATAATGACAAGTAATATAATATCAGTTGTCTAAATTATTGTGTTGTGTTTCTCGTTTTCCCATTGATTTTATAACGATCGTTTTTCGCTAGAACATCGAGACCAGAACGCTAGAACGCTAAAACGCTAAAACGCTAGAACCATATTTTTCGCTAGAAACCATTTGACGATGCACACTTTGGAAAATAGCCATTATTTTGCCCATAATAATAAAGAATAATATAAGGATAATATAATATATTATATATATATATCATATAAGGAGAAAGAATTGCCCCTAAAACGCAATGTATTCGTAAAAATACCTACTTTTCAAGCAGTGGTAAAAACAAAACAAGTAATGATATCCGAGGTTGGGAAAGAGTTGGTGTTTAGCTTTTCTTCATTTTATAAAACGAAAACATAATACAGACATAAGATCTGAACAAAACACCAATTGGGAGTTTGGGTGTGTGAGTAGTGCGTTGGATTGCTAGTCAGTAGTCCGGGGTTCAAATCTTGTCAATTACAATAGTAAAATATTTTCTAACTGCTGTTAAGCTAAATATAAGACATACATCTGAGCTGATCATGTAAGGAATGGTATGTTTGGGTCCGTCCGTAGCGTAACGGGCTTGTATTCAATAATCCGTGGTTCAAATCCAGGCAATTACCAAAGTTAAATATCACTTGGCAAGGATCCTCACTTGATAACGTAAATATTTTGAAAGTGGTGAAGGCCATGGCCTTGAGCTCAAGGCTATGGCCTTGGCCTACTAATGTGAAACTTTTAAACTTAAAAAAGTGGGTCAAGGCCATGGCCTTGAGTTCAAGGCCATGACCTACTTGTGAAAAACGGTTAAAAATGAAAAAGTAGGTCAAGGCCATTACCTTGAGCTCAAGGCCATGGCATTGTACGAGGTCTTGGTCAAGGTCAGTGTTAATGTCAACACCGCCAGACAACAACAACAACAACAACGAGTCCTCAACAACAACCCAAACTACCAATGATCTACTGCAAACTTCTTAACAGTGTATGTTACAATTTCTTTGATGATTTTGCAGAAAAGTATTGTTGATAGCCTTTGAATAATTAACACCATATATAAAGAGGAATCTCGGGCGTTTTATTTGGAGTATATTTATTTGAGAGCATTTCAATCGTGAACGCACATGCATGGGATTACAATCAGGGTGCTAGTTGTTCAAGTTCCAGAGCTAGATGTTCTAGTTCTAGTGCTACTTGTTCTAGTTCCAGAGCTACTTGTTCTAGTTCTATAGCTACTTGTTCTAGTTCCAGAGCTAGATGTTCTAGTTCTAGTGCTACTTGTTCTAGTTCCAGAGCTACTTGTTCTAGTTCTATAGCTAGTTGTTCTAGTGCTAGTGCTAGTTGTTCTAGTTTCAGAGCTAGTTGTTCTAGTTCTATAGCCACTTGTTCTAGTTCCAGAGCTACTTGTTCTAATTCTATAGCTAGGTGTTCTAGTTATACAGCTAGGTGTTCTAGTTCTAGTGCTAGTTGTTCTAGTTCTAGTGCTAGTTGTTCTAGTTCTAGTGCTAGTTGTTCTAGTTGAATGAGTATGATTTCTGACAACGGGCCGCAATCGTACACATAAAACGCGAGACCATGCACATGCTCATACATATGGGATTGAACTTACAATAAACGATTAGTATAAAAAAACACGTGGAATATCAGTATAAAACAATAAGTCCCCCAACGCGAATTGGTGTGCATCATGCTCCCTCTGCCTCCTCCACTCCTGCTTCTCATCTTCTGCGGCATTCCTCTACCAGGGCGTAAGAGAGGTCCTCACACTACATCAAGGCAAAGATTTTTTATCATTAACTATGAGGAAACATATGACATCAATTGATTAAGTACTTGATATAATAAGTGGAATGATTTTCAAATTAATCAAACATGTAAGCGAGCAACGTTTACGAAACGTGAAAATTTATTGGATTTATGATTGGCGAAATATGACGTCCAATAAAATAAAAAAGTGCATTTTTACTTGATCAGGCTTGCATAGCAATTCTCGTCTGTCCTTATGACGTTACAGTAACCAGCATAGAAAAATGTGGATAACAAAATGCTCGATAGGCCGAATGCTCGATATTAATATATAATCAATGATACGTCAATTATATCCAATTTCAGGGAATTTTGCGATACGAAAACTAGTAAATAAACAGTTTCCTTTGTTCTTAGCAGTTTCTTTAATCGGAGAGTGGTGACTCGTCAGTGATTCTCCATGGAAATGTCGAAATCAAATCTAATGTATAAAATCATTATTGATTTATATTAATATATAATCAATTATTATATCAATATTTTAATTACAGCTAATTATATAGCATATAACAATATATATATATATATATTATATATATTATATATACATTATTTAATATATAATCACATAGCCTAATTAATATATTATTTATGAATATACTCAATTATATTCAATTCAGGTGTCATGAGATGCGCAGAAACTAGTTAAATGAACAAATACTTTACTCTTAGCAGTTCCTTTAATCGGAGAGGGGTGGCTCATATAGAATGGTGCGGTCTCAACAGGGGCGCTGAGCTTGAGTAGAGTGTGTGGTCTCACAGGGGGTGACGAGCTTGATGTAGAGAGTCAATGGTCTCACCAGCGGGGCTAAGCTGATGTAGAGAGTCATGGTCTCACAGCGTGCGCCTAAGCTTGATGTGTAGAGAGTCAGTGTCTCACTAGGGGCGCTAAGCTTGATGTAGAGTGGTGTGGTCTCACTAGGGGCGTAAGCTTGATTCTAGAGAGTCATGGTCTCACTAGGGGCGCTAAGTTTGATGTAGAGAGTCATGGTCTCACCAGTGGGCGCTAAGCTTTGATGTAGAAGAGTCATGTCTCACCAGGGGGCGCTAAGCTTGATGTAGAGAGTCATGATCTTACCAGGCGGCGCTAAGCTTGATGTAGAGTGGTGTGGTCTCACTAGGGAGCGCTAAGCTTGATGTAGAGAGTCATGGTCTTACTAGGGGGGCGCTAAGCTTGATGTAGAGATTCATGGTCTTACCAGGGGGCGCTAAGCTTGATGTAGAGAGTCATGGTCTCACCAGGGGGCGCTAAGCTTGATGTAGAGAGTCATGGTCTCACTAGGGGGCGACGAGCTTGATGCAGAGAGTCATGGTCTCACCAGGGGGCGCTAAGCTTGAGGTAGAGAGTCATGGTCTCCCCAGGGGGCGACGAGCTTGATGCAGAAAGTGCTGGTCTACAGGGGGGCGTACGTATGGAGGAAGAGTGGTGTAGTCTCACTAGGGGGCGCCTAAGCTTGATTGTAGAGAGTCATGGTCTCACATAGGGGGCGCTAAGCTTGATGTAGAGAGTCATGGTCTCACTAGGGGGCGCTAAGCTTGATGTAGAGAGTCATGGTCTCACTAGGGGGCGCTAAGCTTGATGTAGAGGAATCATGGTCTCACAGGGGTCGCTAACGCTTGTTGTAAGAGAGTCATGGCCTCACCAGGCGGGGTCGAGTGCTGTGACGATAGGTGGGCGCTATGATCGACAGGCTACTCCTGGACAACAATTCCCACTGCAAAGATTTTTTATATCAATAACCATGAGGAAACACATGACAGGCAATTAATGAAGTACTTGATATAATATATTTTTAACTTATGTAAGAGCTTAAGAGCCACATTTATGAAACGTAGAGGTTTGTTAGCTTTTCTGACTGTCAATATATGATGAGATATCTATGAAAAGTTTAGTTAGGATTGCATAAGCTGATAAGCCCCACATTTTCCTTGACAGTGTAACGTTACAGGAACACATAGAGAAGCAGGTATGGGGCAAATTTGTTTAGAATTGTTTTCCAATTTCAGGGTGTTATGTGACAGTATATGAACAAATTCCTTAATATTGCTCTTTGGCACTTCTGCAGCCCGTCAGTGATTCTCCATAGAAATGTCAAAATAAAACTATTGTATAAATAAAACATGTCTGTATGAGTCTTATTATTTAGTGTATTATCTCAATATTATTAATTATATATAATATATATATATATTATATATATAATATATATATATAAGGAAGATCTAACAGGTAATTAAGTTTGTTAATTATTGATAATATACTGAGTAGAAGTGACCATGGTGTAGAAGATATCTTCGCACTACATTCTGGCTTCATATACAGTAGTGTGGTTTCACCAGGGGGCGTAAGCTTGTTGTAGAGAGTCATGGTCTCACCAGGGAGCGTCGTGTGCTGTGACGATCGACGGCGCTGTGATTTGACAGTTTGCTCCTAGACTAAAAATTCCGGCTGGAAAGATTTTTATATCAATAACAATGAGGAAACATATAACAATGCGATCGATAGGTACTTGATATAATAAGTAACAAGATTTTTATAAATTATTCGAACATGTAAGCTTAAGAGCACATTGTACAAAACGTGGATATTCGAGCGTTTATTAGATTTTTGACTAGAAAAATATTATGCATAATCTAANGATGTAGAGAGTTATGGTCTTACCAGGGGGCGCTAAGCTTGTTGTAGAAAGTTATGATCTCACCAGGGGGTGACGAGCTTGATGTAGAGAGTCCTGGTCTCACTAGGGAGCGCTAAACTTGATGTAGAGAGTCATGGTCTAACCATGGGGCGCTAAACTTGATGTAGAGAGTCATGATCTCACTAGTGGGAGCTAAGCTTGATGTAGAGAGTCATGGTCTCACTAGGGGGCGCTAAACTTGATGTAGAGAGTCATGGTCT